ATTGAAATAAATCAATAAATAATGTGACATTTGGTTGTAATTTCAAATCGGGCGTCACTTTGTGACGCGACTGTATACAAGATATGTTCACGGATTGAGAAGCATCGAAGATGCGATGGGTTGCGGAGCATCGAAGATGCGGAGCACAAGATATGTTCTCAGATTGAGAAACATCGAAGATGCGACAGGTTGTGGAGCATCAAAGATGTAAAGCATATGTACACAAGATATGTACACAGAGGTTGCAGAGTACCAAAGTGCAGAGCATGTACGCAAAACATAAAAAAATCAAGTAATATAAATGCATACATATTGAGTTCCAGGAATATTCCCAGAACATCCTTGGCACTAGTCCATCTGGAATTTGGTATACATATGCTTTAGCACCGATGATTTTTCGAATCCCTCTGGCCTGATCAAGGGCTTTCAAATAAGTCTGCATTTGTATGATTCCAATCAGTGGATCCTGAGATATTCACGTCCAAAGTAGTCAGAGCGATCAAGCAGTTTTCTTATCACAGATTAGCCAAATAGACTACTCTTCAGTCAAGACCTTTAGGAGAAAAAATATATATAAACCTAGCATGGTTAAGTGATAAGACGCTCAGGAGAATCCTTCTCTATTCTCGAGGCCTATCAGATCGATTTGGATTCGGAACACTAGTGGTTGGGGATGAAAGTTTGTTTTTTATAATAATTAGCTTTACTCTAATACTTTCCAGCATGTTTTACACACATTTCATAAGAAGAAGTTGTTAGTGTACCACATTTATCACAAGGAATATGAAATCGCCTTTTCCAATAAATGTGACATCCTTCTTGCTGATAACATTTATTTCCACATATACAACTATCAATATAGAGATATGGACAAAAATAAAATGCCATGCCTTCCTATTGTTTCACAACTTCGAAGTGTTTTACAAATTAAAAATTAGTTTATATAAGGAAATATATTATATTAACTGCTTGTTAGCCTGCTAATGATTTTACAAATTAAAAGATTTCTGAGATTATTAAAACGAGATGACATCTAATAATGATAAAAGAATGGAATCTTTATCTCAAGTGATTCCAGAGGAGCTAGCAAAAAAAATGGAGAAAGCATTGCTAGAAGTATTGGAAACGGCAATATGCCAGAATTTTAAAGAGAGTAGTAAATTTGTTAGAGATCATCTTACCTATGTAAAAAAATTGCGATTGGCAGAAAATCCTAATGGATATGCTAGATATATTGCAAGAAAACTAGTTCCAGATGAAATATCATATAATACAAGATTAGAGAAGATTTAAGCATGGTATCGGGGGGAATTGCGTACTAAACTAGAAGAATTAAATAGCCTTTATTATGAAATATCTCAGGAAGAAAAATGTGAAATATCTAAAAATAATGCGAAAGGAATTATTCAAGGACTTCTTAACATGTCACTTACAGATAATTAGCTCCGCTAGTGAAACTAAATATGTAAAGTTAATAACTTTCTTAACTTGTTAACACCCACTGGGATGGCAATTCAGAATCATGAGGAATTACTAGCAATTCTTCGTATACAAATGATTGTTTAGGACTATTGTTCTCATTATCTATAAGCCAATATAGTACTGGCTGATTTTTTTGTACAAATAATTTTTAATATGATAAATTTGAGAAGACCAAATTAAGTCTTCAGCACGATGACTTCCACTCTCTAACTCATCACGCTTAAGCAAATATCTTACAAAAGTATTATAATCCAATCGCTCTTCATCATATCCCATAGGCCCATCACGGGGTTTAGAAGCCTTAGCAATAATACTTTTTTTTTCTATAGCTACAGCAGGAACCATACAAATTTGGTGGGTTATAGAATTATTAATATCTTCAACAAATAATTGAAGATTTTTTACCCAAGCCCGAGATCTTTCAGTAATAGAAAGTAATTGATCAGAAGAATCTTGAGAAAACCCACATTTTTCTCTTAAAGTTTTATTATAACTTTCAACAATACCCATAGCACGCTTAGTCTTTGCCTTCTGAATTTTTACCCTATGTTCTCTCATTAATTTCTCACAATCACCCCTGAACTCTAGCCCTCTATCTGTTAAAGATGTTTCCGGCCAGATAAGAGGGCACTCAGAATCATCATAGATTTTCTTAAGAGCTCGAGCAATAGTCTTTAAAGTTAAGATTCCCTGCCTATCCTTGACACTATATGCGCCAATAGGAATAGATACTTTATATCTCAAAACCATTTCCATCACATTAAGGCAAAAAAGATAGGTGACTTGTCTTACTTTATCATAAGGCATGTAGAGAACATCTGCCTGGTGAATTTTATTAGGGGTAATAATAGAGCTAAAACTTACTCGTGGAATATACTTTGGCTGTGATCTATGAATCTGATATACAGCCTGTCTTTTGAGCCAATTGTGCACTTCATTTAAGGTAAAATCGAACTCAGCTTTTAGAGAAGCTTCATGCAATTTTTTTGCAGTCCTCTAATAACCTGAAGGTTGGTAATAAATCTTTTGCAAATCAATAGATATATCTAAATTTCTAGCCTTACTCGAATCTATTTGTATAATAGGAATCAATGACTGTTTAATGTATCTCATTATGAATAGTAATAGAACTAAAACTTGCATATAGATTATATTTCGGTTGGAGGTTTATGAATCTGATGCACAGCTTGTCTCTCAAGCCAATCACGCATTT